ACACACCTGCGCTACATGCCTATTAGGGCCGTCTCCAAGAGCCACTTTACAGAACTGCCAGCCTGCCTTCCCCGGCCCGGTGGAACATTCAAATCACATTCAAATCCTGTGCATCATTCGACTTGTGCCGAGAGCTCATGCAAAGCGGGATCTGAGCACACCGAGCAGAGAGGACAAGAGGAGGACTTGGCGTGTCTGAGGTCTGCCTGAGCCCAGGTAAGAGAGTCCGACTTCCCTGCTTTATAGAAGGATGGAGATGGATTGCAGGGTATGAGCAACTCAGCTTTATAGAATGATGGAGATGGATCGCAGGGTATGAGCAACTCAGCTTTATAGAAGGATGGAGATGGATCGCAGGGTATGAGCAACTCAGCTTTATAGAATGATGGAGATGGATCGCAGGGTATGAGCAACTCAGTTTTATAGAATGATGGAGATGGATCGCAGGGTATGAGCAACTCAGCTTTATAGAAGGATGGAGATGGATCGCAGGGTATGAGCAACTCAGCTTTATAGAAGGATGGAGATGGATCGCAGGGTATGAGCAACTCAGCTTTATAGAAGGATCAGATCTGAGATCCTTAGGAATAAGTATTCTAGAAGAGTGGAAGAAGAATCGTCCTGGGCCAAAAGAATTCCATCACACTCCTTCAATTTGTTGGGTTTTTTTCATCTCTGCGGTGGAAAGCCATTGTGGATATGACCCCATCACACTATTAGAAAACTGAATGAAAACAAATCTTGTCAGAGGAAATTCTTCTGGTGTGTGGGCAGATTCTAATGATACGGATCGGAGTTTAGAAGGGTGATTGGGGTGAGTCCAGGCACAATCCTCATCTCATCTCAATCTTTATTTTTTTTTAATTTTTTTCCAACTTTCAACATCATTCTTCTCCATTAGTAAGGGAGTAAATACGCAAACGATTGCACATAAAATATATATACCCCTTATAATCTTTTCAAATGTCTAGATACCTTCTTCACTTGTATCCTTATTACCCCCATTCATCATTCTCCTCACCCTTTCTTCCCAGATCTAAATAACAACAACCCCCCATTCCCACATCCCTTCCCCAATTGATATCTTACATCTTAGTCCTCAGACACTAACCTCTATCTAGTAAATGTAATTTCAAAGTCCGCTGACATGTAAATTTGTATCTCCGGGTCCCACGTTTTCTTGAATCTAGAGATTGTGTCATTTAAGATTGCAGAAAGTTTTCCTGTGAATCTTATTTATAATCGTCCATAAATGTTCTGCATGAGTCATCTAGCACAGTCCAATCCTCTACTTCAGTCAGCATTATAAGACTGGCGAATACATTCTAAGATTTGTTCCTGGAGAAATAAGAGAGATGGTAGAAGAACAACTTTCCAGGAAATCAAAGTACATATAGAGCAGTGGTCCTCATCCAGCCACATGATGTTCTTGGTTACCTATGAGGAGACTCATTAACCACTTGCTGCCCGAAGCAATTTCTTACATTAGCACACACTTGATAAAATCAGAATTTGGGGCTAGAAAACAGTTTCAGACCCCCAAAACAATTATATATCTTCTGAAAGTAGAGACCCTGTAGAATAAAAAAGATGCTAGTTTCAATTTTTGTATGTCGCACGGTATTTGCACAAATGTTTATCAAACAAGTATATTTAGGATAAAATACACTAAAATGAAATTTAGTGCACAGAAACAGAATATGATACCCAATTTTTTGGTAAAATATAAAAGACGGGGTCATATCGGGTAAATAGATACCAAACTTGTCATGCCTTAAAATTGCGTTTGCCTGTGAAACCGCAAAAAACTACAATAATCAAAATTTCCCATAGGCAACAGGTCCTCTTTATGGAGACATCAGGGGTCTTTCGGACCCCCAACATCACCTTGTGACCCCAAAGAAGCTGAGGAAGCAGAGATCTGCTCCGCACCGTACAATCGACCCGGCGCCTGTACAGATGCCGGATCACTTGTATTTAAACAGCTGGCTGTTTAAAACGGTACCAAGAACACGGCTGCAGCAGCCTTGTTCTTGGCATAACCACTTCCAGCGGAGGACGTACATTTACCTGAACCCGCTGGAAGAGGTTAAAGAAGAAATTCTCCCTTATTCTAAATATTAACAACAAAGGCCCCTTTAGAAATGTTTAGTAATGACAATCCCCAAACAGCTACTTCTAGATAATGGCCAGTTTTTAACTCTTTGCATGCCTTATTTCCCCCCCCCCTCTTCATTCTTCTTGTGGTGACCATTTTCACTAAGGACAGATGAATACATCTCCCTTTACTTCCTGGGACTCTGGGTCTCTCTCCTAGAACAGTGCTTCTTAAAGTGTGGGTCGCAACCCCATATGGGGTCCCGCAAGTGAAAGAGGCCTGTCCTAGAACATCTAGTAAAGTATGTCACCCGCACACCGTGGTTAAATCTTCAAGAAGTGATCATTTTATTCATGCACACAACACATATTGTACAATAGCAACTGCATTGCGTCTCCTGGAACATGTGACAGTGCAAATCATCTGAGGGGGAGAAATGCCTTTCCCTGAGATTGTGTGAGATTTTTCAGTTTACAGATGAGATTTCCCCGGGAAGGCACTGGTGATGTAACCTTCTCAGGATACATTCGTGAGGCCAGGACTACATCACCAGTGCCTCACTCATCCAGGAAAAACAGGAATTGTAAGAGAAAGCAAAAGACGTTTGTTTAATGAATGAATGTGAGATTTCATATCGGCACGCTGATGTGATGAAGTTCCACTGAAATGATGACCCGTTATTAAAGAGAGTTTAAAAGCTGTCGTCATTTATTTCAGCTTCGTGCCACTGAAAATGTGCCCTGCATGATGGCAGTTTCGGTACTGGTAACCTTTGTGTTGTAAAGCCGGCCATAGCTCTGTGAGGGTCAATGGGTGTGCTGGTACTAGCCAAACGCCCCTCGGCCAGCTTTCCAAATAATAATGTATGCTGGTCTCAGCTGTGCGTACATGTTTAATGCTATGGAGTCACGCTCCGGGGGCTCTGGAGAAAACAAATAGCATTGGACAGGGTTATTGGACTCTGTTGTTGAACATCTAACCGGAGATCAGTTAGACCGGTACTTTTCTTTCAGTCACACCAACATTTAAAAGTATGAAAAGTCAGGAGGCACCCCACAGTCTAAAATGTAATGGATTTTAAGGGGGATCCCCATAAAAAACAAAAAAGTGAGGTTCCCCCTTCATATCAGAAGACTCCCCCTTCCCCTTTATATCAGAAGCCCCCTTCACATTAGAGTCCTCAGTTACCCTTCACATCAGAGGCCCCCTTCACATCAGATTCCTCAGTCACCCTTCATATTAGAGTCCTACCATTTTGGGGTGATTTCAAGGCACCTTGAGGAAGCCAGGAGGCACCCCAGGATGCCATGGCACACTGGCTGAGAAAAACAGAGTTAGACAGACCGGGGTGTCTGGTGCCTCCCACAGACATAAGACTGGCATGCAATCTAGATGTTTTGTGATAGTTTTCTTCTCATTTCCAACAAAATATTCAAAGCCGAGTCCCCCAGATATGGATTCATATTTTTTAGCATGGTGACAGGGACCCTTTAAATCAAGACGGTGACACAATCCACTTTGTAACTTGAATACAACACCTATCCGGTTATATTATGCTGCTACAGATGTTTGAAGTGTCTGTTGAGTCCACTGGGAAGTGTTCTAATTTCACTTAGTACTGGGGGGGAGGTCTACACTTGTCTAAGGAGTTATCATACATATCAGGCATATATTAGTGTTAATATTTGGAGGGTCCTCCAGGAAGGAAGGAAGGAAGGAAAACTGTGCTAAAAAAATATTTAGGCTGCCATTGCTGAAATCAGCTTCCTGACTGTTGGGGGGTCACGTTGTCAAGGTTGGGGCCAGGGTGGGCATCAACATATAAGCCCAATAACAAATGGCCTTCTAAAAGACAAATAGACCCACCACAGAATTTCTGACCCCTCAGAGATATCTATTTAACTGACGATTTCAATGTTCACCAGAAGTTCTAAATTCTCTCCCTTGGCTGCAGTGGACCAAAACGGTTCCTCATAGAACATCAAAACCCAACTGTTCATAACAGCTCAGCTTCTCATTACCGAGTTAGCTGTTGGTTGTAGTTGCTCTTGATATTAACATGACCCCTTCTGACTGTAATAAGTGAGGTGTTTAGGAGCACAAGTATTGCAGTGAGAATATTTGAACTTTGGAAGCATTCGTCTTGTAGTACTTGTGTAATGGTTCTGACATACTGAATGCCGGAATGACTTGGCCAGTACAATATGGCCCAGTACACCCGACCTCTGTTTATTGCATGGCCAAACCTGCTAATACACATAAGGTGCAGAGAGAAAACTCATCCTGAACTATGGCCAAAGGAATTTAGTAGGGACGCACCGATACTAGTATTGCTGCCGATACCGAGTATTTGGGCCAAATGCTCCGATACTTAACTCCGATACCAGAACTTCCGGTCAGAGGGAGATCTCTCTCTGACCGACAGTGCCGAGGGAGAATGGAGCCGGCTTGCTCTCCAATCAGGAAGCCGGGCAGAACGTAATGACCCGCCTCCCGGCTTCCTGATGGGTCAGGAAGCCAGGCTGCCTAGGAGCATGTGAAGCTGACTTCCTGGCCACACAGGAAGCGGGTCATGATGTGCCGCCCGACTTCCTAATAATCGGCGCACAATGCACCGCTACCCGATATCGGCGAGTGCAGGAATAAAAAATATCGGTGCTCGATACTGAAGAACCGGTATTGGTGCATCCCTAGAATTTAGGAAAGGTCATTGCAGATTCTTACCTGCTTCTATTATGTGGCTACAAAGGCCTCTGGAGTAACTTCCTCAAACTGAAAGGAACGGGAGTGCTTAGAGCAGGGGTAGCCAAACTCCGGCCCTCTAGCTGTGGTGAAACTACAAATCCCATGATGCATCTCTCTCCGGGAGTCATGTCTGCGGCTGTGAGAATCTTGCAATGCCTCATGGGATTTGTAGTTCAACCACAGCTGGAGGGCCAGAGTTTGGCTACCCCTGGCTTAGTGGAAGGGTCTGCAGGGCTATTATCACATTGAACAGTCCTATTGTGGTAATTCCAAAACTGCTAACGGCTGGAAAAAATAGCTAGACATGTGAGCAGGGAATGAGATCTCTGAGGGGTGTCTCGGGGTGTAGAATACTCCTAGCGTTGCCAACATTTTAATTATTTTGCCAGTAACAGCTGGCTGCAGATTGAAATTGACAAGTTAATGATACCGGGGGACAACGGTGTTATTTCTGTGTCCTGGTTCTTTATAATACCATCAGTTTTTATCTTCTAGTGTATTCTCTGCTGGCTTTACCCCTTTCTATTGGTCACCATGGATGAGATGGACGCACCGCAGATGAAGAAGGAGGTGGAGAGTCTAAAGTATCAGCTGGCTTTCAAGCGAGAGATGTCTTCCAAGTCTATACCCGAGTAAGTATGGCAGGGGATCCAATGGTCCATCTTGGTGGCCTTTCTACCTTCAGTTGCATGGTCTGGTACAGCTGCAGTTACATAGTTGACCACTGGACACACTTAAAAGTTCCCAGATGACCCGTCAAAGAGTGCAAGTCATTGAGTATAACAGCCAATTATGTTTCCATTGCCAGATTATTAAAGTGGATTGACGAAGGAATACCCAACGACCCTTTCCTGAACCCGGAGCTGATGAAGAATAACCCCTGGGTGGAGCGAGGAAAGTGCAGCATCCTGTGAGGCTCCAACGACCGCCTCTGCCCTACCCCCCCCAACTCTCATCTACTCTGAATGTAACTAGATTCTGATATTAGAGATTAGAGTCCAGATAGGCAGCTGAAGAGACCTATTTGATCACATTGCATTGCTCCAGCAGAATTTACACATTGCAGGAAGGGGGGGATGCTGTCACCCCAGTAACCAGTCTCCCCACCATAGCTTAGATGGGGGGGGGGGGGGGGCTGTGCTGTAATGAAGAGGTCTATCATTTTATTACTTTTCATTTTAGGTGTATAGAGTGGCTAGGAAGCGTAGCAATGAACTTGTAGATTAAGGGGCCGATTTGCAGCGAAAAGGGGGTTAGGTTAGAAGCGTAGGGCACAGCTGCTTGTCACGGTGGTATGACAGCAATAAAAATTACAGTCTCGGGCCGTAGCAACCCTGGGATGCTTTAATGCCCCGGTGCAGCCGTCTCTACAGCGCCCCCTGACTGTACCTTCCAGGTTATGCACTATATTAAACATACTATGCTTTTCAGGTCACTGGAATTATATACTCATGGGACTTGCAAGACCCTCTTTATATATTTTATTTCTCCAAAGAGCTAAATGCAGAGAAATTGTAAAAAAAATGAATAAGATTAATATCGAATAATAAACTCTTGGTACATTTTTCCTCTGTCGGTGTCTATCCCATCCTCCTGTGTTTGGATTCGATGTGTAGATGACAAGTACTTGGCCACTAGGTATAGCACAATGGCACTCTGTGCCAAGATACATGGGGTGACGGATCGAAGATGAAAGGGAACGCAACACTAAAGCTGGCCATAAATGCGTTGAGGTCCATCGGTTCCCCCAATCCGTGCAAAACAGCATGGATGGAGGATTCCCGGTACTGGCTATGGTATTCAGCAGTCGCTGGAGCACCAGAACAGCATGGATGGAGGATTCCCGGTACTGGCTATGGCATTCAGCAGTCGCTGGAGCACCAGAACAGCATGGATGGAGGATTCCCGGTACTGGCTATGGCATTCAGCAGTCGCTGGAGCACCAGAACAGCATGGATGGAGGATTCCCGGTACTGGCTATGGCATTCAGCAGTCGCTGGAGCACCAGAACAGCATGGATGGAGGATTCCCGGTACTGGCTATGGCATTCAGCAGTCGCTGGAGCACCAGAACAGCATGGATGGAGGATTCCCGGTACTGGCTATGGCATTCAGCAGTCGCTGGAGCACCAGAACAGCATGGATGGAGGATTCCCGGTACTGGCTATGGCATTCAGCAGTCGCTGGAGCACCAGAACAGCATGGATGGAGGATTCCCGGTACTGGCTATGGCATTCAGCAGTCGCTGGAGCACCAGAACAGCATGGATGGAGGATTCCCGGTACTGGCTATGGCATTCAGCAGTCGCTGGAGCACCAGAACAGCATGGATGGAGGATTCCCGGTACTGGCTATGGCATTCAGCAGTCGCTGGAGCACCAGAACAGCATGGATGGAGGATTCCCGGTACTGGCTATGGCATTCAGCAGTCGCTGGAGCACCAGAACAGCATGGATGGAGGATTCCCGGTACTGGCTATGGCATTCAGCAGTCGCTGGAGCACCAGAACAGCATGGATGGAGGATTCCCGGTACTGGCTATGGCATTCAGCAGTCGCTGGAGCACCAGAACAGCATGGATGGAGGATTCCCGGTACTGGCTATGGCATTCAGCAGTCGCTGGAGCACCAGAACAGCATGGATGGAGGATTCCCGGTACTGGCTATGGCATTCAGCAGTCGCTGGAGCACCAGAACAGCATGGATGGAGGATTCCCGGTACTGGCTATGGCATTCAGCAGTCGCTGGAGCACCAGAACAGCATGGATGGAGGATTCCCGGTACTGGCTATGGCATTCAGCAGTCGCTGGAGCACCAGAACAGCATGGATGGAGGATTCCCGGTACTGGCTATGGCATTCAGCAGTCGCTGGAGCACCAGAACAGCATGGATGGAGGATTCCCGGTACTGGCTATGGCATTCAGCAGTCGCTGGAGCACCAGAACAGCATGGATGGAGGATTCCCGGTACTGGCTATGGCATTCAGCAGTCGCTGGAGCACCAGAACAGCATGGATGGAGGATTCCCGGTACTGGCTATGGCATTCAGCAGTCGCTGGAGCACCAGAACAGCATGGATGGAGGATTCCCGGTGCTGGTTATGGTATTCAGCAGTCGATGGAGCACCCGAACTGCATGTGCATCAGACTGGATGCAGACACTGTTGGGGCAAGAATTTTCAGACCACCTCCTTTGACAAAAGTCAATGGAAGAGTCAAGAGGGAGGGTGCCGACAGGGCCACACACTGTTTAACTCAGCCATCTACATCTGTATTGTTTTAACATTACAAAAATATAGAAGAGAAAGCCTTTGAAAAATCACTTTGCAGTAGATCTGTTCTCAAGCTCCGAGAATTCAAATATTTACACGTAAATAAGCATCAAAACAAGCCCTCACTGTCCTCTTCAGCTGCAAGTACAGTTGAGCAATTAATCCTCAAAGTCCACAAGAGAAACTGCAAGGAGCTTAAAGTCGGGTCTCAGCACTCTGCTCTTCCTGTGAGTTTACATGAGAGATTAGAAGGCCTGCACGCTGGCAGCTCACTGATAGGAGAAGACAGCAGAATGGGTTAAGCTGCTAAATTGTACATGTTTTTGCTTGAAAGTTAAGAATTGCTCCGTAGTGCCTGCAGCTAGAAAGGTCCGTAAGGACTTGTTTGAAAGAATACCTGAACCCTGTGCACAGCAAAGCAAGGAGCGGGAAAAGGTTTAGACATCAGTATTACCTGTTGACTCCCTGCAGATCTTTTAACCATTATCGCCTTACCATACATTGCACCATCGCTGCGAGGAGGTGGCCATCGCTGCGAAGAGGCAGGGCTTTGCTTCATCATGTCAGCAGTGCACACCCAATGACTAATTGGGTAACGGCTATGAAGCAGCAGGAACAATGGAGGAAGAAAAATCCCACAGAATGAATGATGCAGAAGCCAGGAGATTCTTGCACTGCACTGTCATGTACTGCGTCACCTCCAGCAAGCAGCACAGGAGCGAAGTCTTCAAATCTCACAGGCAGTACTGCTTCTCACACAGCAGAGTTTTGGTACAGCAGAGTTTTGGTACAGCAGCACCTGCTCACATGAATGGCAACGCACCTCCCGCACCAGAATGCATGGTGCAGTGTATTAATCGCACAGAACTGTGTGATTAATGCACTGTACTATTGTGAATGGGCCCTCAAAAACACTGACAGCCACACACAGACACAATCTCACACACATACACACTCCAAAAATAGTTACATAGTTACATAGTTTTACATAGTATTTGAGGTTGAATAAAGACATTAGTCCATCAAGTCCAACCTATTAGGAGAATGTTTTTATTTTATTAAGATCCACCCATTCTCCCTACCTTACAAGAACTGGAGTGAATCCTCAGCCTGGAGTCCAGTGTGGAGCGCCATCCATATTTGGATTGCTTGTACAGCTCCCTTGTGCGTCCTGTAGAGGTGCCAGAATGCGACGTCACTCCGATCCAAAAGTTTCCCAGCACACTCACCAGCCAGCATGCTAAAAAAACCTGTCTCACCGCTAAGGTTAAAAACAGAGGTTTTTAGATACACGTCTTCTGCAGAATATGTGAGAGCCGCACCACCTCGTCAAGGCCCCTCTGTGTAGTGCGGTCCTAACTCTAACCTATTAGAGTCTCCATCTTGGTGCAGGTTCGCTAGGAGGCAGCCCAACCTCCTTAAAAGGCACAGGGACACACAAGGGACCCCGCACATCACAATGGCAGCTGAGACCCCCAGTGTGTCACTGCGCCAAATCAGTCAAGCAAAACAAATGGCAAACGCACTCCTCAACTCATAACCAGCTTTCAACCAAGGTGCACATGGAAGGGCTTTATACAGTACAACAGCAAAAAGTTTCCCAGCACACTCTGTACTGTATAAAACCCATCCATGTGCACCTTGCTTGAAAGCTGGTTATGAGTTGAGGAGTGCGTTTGCCATTTGTTTTGCGTCACTCCGATCCAGACACCATACCCCCAGCCCACCCCGCCTCAAGCTGACACTTGGCGCCAGGCAGCATATTTTGAATGGCTCCTCAGCACGAGAACTGACAGTGCTGCGCCAGGGGAGACTGAGAAGCCTCTCACCTAGCGCAGTGGAAGGCATGCGGCGACCAACTGAACACAAGATTGCAACCCACCAGTTGAGAACCACGGTTCTATACCATAGCATATTTTTTCCATTTTTGAATCCAAGCCAACTTTAAAGCCTGCGTTTTCAGATATTCAAACATTGGCATTGACTATAGCCAGGCTGCAGTTCTACTTTATGGTAAACACGGCAATTAAAATATAAAATTAATTTAAAATGTGCCCACTGAAAAGTACCCCGTGCTTTTCCTTTAAGAAGCTGGCAGGTAAATTGGGCATAAAGCAGCCACCCAAACCTGGGGTATTGGCTGCGGATAGACTTTGTGGCTCTGGAGTATTAAGATCACTATCTCTTCATCTTCATTGCCTTTGGTCCAGCTCCCACCAGCTGTCTGCCTTTACATACCGCATGCATGGATTTTATACCCCTGAGCAGAAGGCATAAAACGTTTCCCATAGCAACACAACACACAATGTGCTGCAGTTTCCAAAATTTCAGGTTGTCTTGTTACATGGAAAACCCAGCAGACAAACCGGCTCTTTAGTGTATGTGATGTTCTGGCATTAGAGCAACTGGGTGGAAATGTCCAGCTGCAGCACAGCACAGCTGAAAAAACACTGCAATGGTGCAGTCCAAAGCTTAAAGGAGAACTATGAGGTGAGCGCTTTTCACTCACCTCATAGTTCTAGCCGACCTGTGACAATGAGACTGTCACAGGTCGGCTCAGTAGATCGGGAAGTGAGCGAACACATACCGGCGTTCGCTCACTTCTCGATCCTGTCACGGCTCTCTGCCGTGACAGAGTAGGGGCTGGATTCCCCCCTCTGCCAGCGCTGACTGGCGGATTGGACGGGGGAGGGTACAGCTGGCTCTGCCTCTAGATAGGCAGAGCCAGCTGTCACTCACGCAGCTGGGCGGATCCATACATAATTGTCGGATCCGCTTCAGCATCTCAGTATACCGTGAGCTGTAGCTTGCGATATACTGAGCTTAGGGTGACGGGAGGACGCTAGTTTGTGTCTTCCCGTTACCCTAAGGAGAACTATGGGGAAAAGCCCTGACCCCATAGTTCTCCTTTAATTTCCAAACCTGCACTGAAGGAAGGAAATGAAAACGGCTCCTGGAAAATATTTATTATCTTCATACAAAAACTAGATCAACAGACCTGATAATAGATCGGAAACTTAACGTAGTGAGGAGATGAAAGCTCTCACCTGAGCACAAGTAGTACAGTCCAACATCCCCAAAAAATCTCTCATCTTCACTCCACATGGACACAAAAAATGTCCGCTGAGAACTCACATATGGCCTGAGTCCTGGTCATTCTGGGGAAAAGTCTTATAAATTACATTTGTTTTTCTTTACAAAAATGTAAAAATATCACATTAAGTCTTTAATGTGCACGTTCCTCCGCACTGCATTGGAAACGCCTTCATTAAATCGAAACCAAACATGGCTGTTCCCCACGGCCGATCCAATCCTCTTCTCTACAGGATCCTCTTGGTTTGAACCCACTGCAGATATAAAAACAGAGAACATGAATTGTACGGGGTGGTTGGAAGTCTCTTACCAAATCAAACTCCAGCCTTCCACCACAAAGCAACAAGAACGGGCATGACATGACAGCAGACCCCCGTCGCCCCTTAAATACCCACAGAGCTTCCTGCTGCCCTCTGTAGTTCTGAAAACCCTGGAGGGTATTTATCAAGACTCTGAAGGTGACGGGCACATTTGTCAGGCTCATATTTTCCTTTTTCCATAAGGGCCAACAAAATGTGAAGCTATCTGGGACAGAAATACTGCCTATGAATATATTGTATTCTTATTTTTCAACCAGTAGGTGGAGCTGTAGCCTCATTTGCATAGGTTTTCTATGGTCTCCTTTGCTCCTGTTGTAAAACAATCTGCAGAGCTACAAAGCACAATAGCTCAAGCTGAAATGCGCAAACACGAGTTGAAACAGCATAAAAATAAAAAGGTTTTCAAAGTCTTACAGATCATTTCCTTCAGAAAGCAGGCCCATCCCAAACAGAGAAGCCGGCCCCCTGCTAGCGTGTGGAAGCAGTGGTCTCTCTGCAGTGGTCAGACATGCTGCCTGCGGAGTCAAAGCTAGAGCTTTCCAAATCAGCAGGAAATGTGATTTTGGTGAAAACCCATGCAGAATTCAGAATTACTGCATGCACAAGTTTGTGGGCAGGTACCGGTCCTTATGGGTGGGTCAAAAGAATCCGAACTCTTAATAGCAGCTGTTCCCAAAGAAAGAACCTTGCACTGTGTGGAAGTGGTGGTCTCTCCGCAAAGGTCTGACACACCTGCAGCGTTTGAGCTCCCCCTATCAGCAGGGAGCATAAGCATTGCTGATTTCAGAGCTGTAGGAGTTGACTTAGCAGGGGGGGTGTCGGATCTCTGCAGAGAGACCATCCCATCCACACCGCACAGCAAGGTTCTCTGGAGCATGCTGGCAGGGCGTAGTTTTTTCTGCTCTTAAAAGGGCCCCTTCACACTAGCCTGTCCTCTGAAATGCTGCACTTTAGTGGACGGGCTAATGCATAGTGACATCTCTGGTGGTGTGCATTGTATCACACACTGCCGGAGTTGTCAGTTTGCATTTTTTTTCTTTCTAACTTTACGTGGCATGTACAATGCGTACGCTCAGGTCCCTGCACACCAGCGTTGTCTGTGGGGATCCAGTGCACTGTGATAAAACGCAGCATGTTTGCATGTTATTGCAGCCCAGCACACCCACGCTGTGCTGTGAACAGGACACATAAACAGTTGTTTTCTATGTGTTCCAGCGGTGACCTGCATTGATCAGGTGTGGTACAACACATGTCACCAATAGATGTGTGCACGGGCCCTAAGACTTTTATTTTGATGCATGTGGAATGTATTTAGCCGATTTAAACTGAGCTTTAAAATAAGACAAAATGAAAATAAAAAGGTGTCAAAGATCCATTACAGTTTCCCTTTCAAGCACCAGGCAATCTCCAACTCCGGCATCTGGTCAGGGCAATTGTATGTTAAGAGATGAAGCGCTGCACAGTTTACGGTAAGTGCAGAGTGGAGAGGGCGCGCTTCAAACACAGCCGACATCGCACACGAAGCAGCTCATTTGACTGTCAAATTAAAGATATATAAATAAAATAATGAGGCCGCTGGAGGAGCTCTCATCTATAATTCAGAGCAGAGAATTGCGGCCTGTAAGAGTGAGAAGCGTGAAGCTGAAGACTGCGGCCCGTTCCTGCAGCAATCATCTACGCATGTCGTCATCCTTTCCCTCACAAATCTATACAGCGCGTCTCTTATCTGCCTTCACCGTCTACTATCATAAAGGTACGCACACACCGTGCAACCCAAATATAGCAGTCTGAAGGAGGTAATCATACCCAAGGCCTCTCTGCTGCCTGGCCTCCGGGAGGGTTGGCTTTTTGTCTGCTTTAACTCCGACCTTACTGGGACCAACAAAAATAAATAAAAAAAGTCATATCTGTGATGCAACTCCAGGCAAAGCTTTTATAAACCCTTGCGGTGGGTACACCTCCGCACCTCAAGGGTTAACTGCTCATTTTGGCCTAGGAGGAAAATAAAGTTATAATCACCTGAACCTTGGAGCCGGCTGGCTGTGACAGTGCTCCTTCCTGCTGGTTTCCTCTCCTATGCTCCAGCGATGGTATGTCCCTTGGTGTCCTCACGTCCTATATCCAGCATCGGCTACAAACTGGCTTCCCGAGGTGACAAGGGTGGACCATGTTTGTACATGGCGTGTCAGCATATCTACTTGCAGCCTCTGCCTGGGTGAATGTGACAAGGTGACAACATAGGAGCACAGTTGGGAGATAGTAGTCACTCCATGACTGCCTGAAGAAGGATCACCAGGTATTATTTTAACAAAAGCCATACAAGGATTAAAACCAACATCTGGAATGACATCAACATGTTCTATGCAGATTTTTGCGATTCGTTTTAGACCTATTTTCATGCTGTAGGTTGTATTCGGAGATGGGAAGCGTTCTGTCACGGTCAGATTTAAGCCGGCCCTGGAAGATGTTGGCTTTCAACCCAACTGGCTGCTGTGGAAAAATACCATTTGTTTCCTGGGACAAAGGCGGCTCCCTATCATAGCAGACAGGGACAGATGGCTAGAATGTCTACACAATGTTATCTCTGCCATGTGAGTGACAATTCCAGCGTCACCAGGGGCCGCGGCCATCGGCTGCATTGATTTTCCAACATGAACGGCGAGATTGTCATCCATCAGGAAGGGATGTATCAATACCTGAACCTGCTCTGTGCCGTTCACAAAAGAGGTGGGGGGGGGGGGGGGGGGTGATGTCCTCG